AGAATGTCTCCATAGCAATTCTGCATATAACTTCTTGAGAAAACGATTTTTATACATTTTTTAAAACTTGTTATTTGTATATATTACTTTGTAATAATTTGAATTTGACCCCCCATCATATCACTCCCTACCCCAAAGGGTACTCATGATATGAACAAATTTAAATCTTCAATACATGAGGATGCGTACATGTCAGTTTGACTAAACATAGCTTTTCTGTTATTGAGAATGCTCTATTTTTCTATGTAAAACTTTGATCCACCATTGAGACCCTTCCCTACCCTTGAAGGTTATGATTTGAACAAATTTACTTCTATACCTGAGGATGTTTCCATATAAATATCACTAATCATGGCTTTGCTATTCTTTCGAGAAAAAAAATTTAAAATATATTTTAATGTAAAACTTGGATCCCCCATTGTGGCCCCAACCTATCCCTAGGGTATATAATTTGAACTAGAATCTACAGTATCTGAGGATGCTTCCATAAAATATCACTAATCATGGCTTTGCAGTACTTGAGAAGAACATTTTTAAAGATTTTTCCAATATACTCCTATTTAAAATTTTTAAATAGGGAAGATTTTCCTATTCCCCTATGTATCCCTATGTAAAACTTTGATCCGCCATTGTGGCCCCACCCTACCCCCGGTGGCCATGATTTGAATAAACTTGAATGTACACTATCTGAGGATGATTCAACACGTGTTTCAGCTTTCCTGGCCCAATGGTTCTTGAGAAGAAGATTTGTAAAGATTTTTCATATATACTCCTATGTAAAAATTTGGTCGGCCATTGAAGCCCAACCCTATACCCTCAGGGTCATGATTTGAACAAATGTAAATGTACATTATATGTGAATGATTCAACCTGAATTTCATCTTTTCTGTCCCAATGGTTCTTGAGTAGAAGATTTTTAAAGATATTTCCTATATATTCCTATGTAAAACTTTGATCGCCCATTTTGGCCCCACCCTTGCCCCGGACTGTCATGACTTGAACAAACTTAAATCTATACTACCTGAGAATGATTCCACATGAGTTTTATCTTTCCTGGCCCAGTGGTTCTTGAGAAGATTTTTTTTTGAAATGCCATTAATTTTTCACTAATTCATGATTATCTTTCCTTCATTTGAATAAACTTGAATTCCCTTTACCCAAGGATACTTTGGAGCAAGTTTAGTTGAAACTGGTCCAGTGGTTCTTAAGAAGAAGATGAAAATGTGAAAAGTTTACTACGCCAACGACGACAACGACGAAGATAACGACGATAGAAAACGGACAAATTTTGATCGGAAAAGCTAAAACCAATGGCCACCAATTTATTGCTTAATTTATTAAGTTCTTTTTTATAACCTGATAAATATCATTGCAGTTATTTTGTTTGTTTATTTGTTTTGACCTTATTTTTTAAAAACACATTTTAAGTACCTGTAAGGCAATAAAACTTGAATGAATTTTTGCAGTTTCTGTTTGGACATCCATTCTTCCTACTCTAATACTTGTTTCCGTAATTCCTGTATTGTTTGGTTAACTTGTGGCACGTCTGTTTGGGGTATTTATTATTGGAGTGAGGTTATAAGTTCTGAGGAGGGTTTGATTAAGTAGTCCCTCAATACAACCCCAAGATGATAGCTGTATAAAACCAGTTTACAATAATTACATATGCACACATCCAAACCATGCTGAATATAAAGAATTAAAGGGACTTTTGAATGCTGCTTGCATACAATACTGTACAGCGAAAACTTTTTTTTTGAAGAAAGAAAGTGTCTTGCATGGGCACCAAGTCTTTGTACTGCTTCTCCAAGACTAGTTTGAATCATCAAATAATTACCATTCGTTTTTGCAGTCTTTTGTGCAGTTTAAATTCAGATATTGATGAATTTTTTAAAAAATCAATTCACTGCTCTGATAGAGAAAAATGGAATTCACTCTACTACAAAAGTGACAGAATAAGGTTGGCATGACGGGAAGGGATCAAAATCTTGATAAAAGACATTCAACATAAGTTATTTGTGCTTTGCGTACATCAAGCAGTTACGTCGTGGTTTTAAAATTTAATCGAATACCCGAAGCTGACATACAATGGCGGCTTATAAACATGTTTCTGCCGATGAGGATATTAGACTGAAATGTGACATACACAATAATGATTTGCTCCCACTGTTTTGTAGTGAATGTAATTGTCATCTCTGCATCGACTGTGCTACACTTGACCATGCTGGACATAACTTCTGTAAAGTTTCGGAAGTCGTAGAACTCCATAGACAGGAACTTCAAGAAATTTTGTGTTGTGATACGTCATCGCAATTTCTTGAAAAACGTTTGAGCCTTTTGAAAGAACAACAAACATCTTTGGCCTTACATACCGAAAGTCTGCTGCAAAATGTGTCAGACCGAGAGAAAGAGATTATTGAAAGAGTGAGGGTTTGGAGACAGAATATAAATGACAAAATCATTTCATTTAGAGAAGCTCGTGAGAAACATTTGAGGGACGATCAGATGATTCTATCGGCTCTCCTTCACACACTGGAAAAGAGTTCAGAACCAGAAAGAACTGAATTGGAACTTTCGTATTTATGTTTCCGAGGAAAACGTCTATTAGCTGAGGAACATTGCATGACGTCTGATAAAGATATTTCTGATTTATATGACTTTATTATTGGACCATCTGCTGAAGACTTATATGATACATTTGGAGTATTTAGATATAACTCAGAAGATGAGTCATCATCAGATTCAATTTCACTTAACAGCAGTAAAGAAGAAGAATATTGTGATTGCGAGGAAATACAAGGGGCGTATCAAGTTGGCAATAAGTCTTTAAAATGTATTATACCTATTGATAGTTTTAGGTTCTTTCTTCTGACTTCATGTAACGTATACTCATGTACATTTAACGGAAGTAAGGTTGATATGAAGCTTATCTTAAACAATGTTTGGCAAATAGCCCTGATTCCGTCAACAGGAGACATACTTTCAATAATTAGTGATCAGAAAAAAATAAAACGCATTTCATTTGAAAGTAATGTGACAACATTTTTAGTTACGAAAGACCAGTATGAAGATGTCAATTCAGGAGGAGATAATACTTACGCATGTGTTTTATACATATTGAATAACAATAGGACGAGGACTGCCATGTGGTCCTCAAACATTCACTTATTAAACGAGTTTGGGGTTGTCCTGAAGATATTTGAACATGGACTTAATGCTTGTTATAGCATATCCAGGTTATTAAAGACAAACGAAGAGAGCAAATTCTATCTTTCAACCCCTAAGAAAATTGAAATATTCGATGCTGAATTAGGCAAATTTACTGATAATTACTGTGGAGCAGTGGGAAAGGATGCAAGCTTACGATTCCATTTATGTGATATGATTACGGATAACAACAACAACGTTTTACTTGCTGTTAAAAATGACAATGCCATCCATTTACTTGATAAAACTTTAAAATTTCAGAAACTGTTACTGACTGAAGAAGACGGGCTCCAATCGCCTTCTTGTTTAGCACTAGACACCTTTGGCTATCTCTGGGTGGGTTGTAAAGATGGACAGATACATATAGTGAATTATCAATATCTACTGAAGACGGATCGATTATCTAGACTAAAATCTAAAAGATAGGGGTATTTATGGATAAAATCTATACGTTTTATGTGAGTTTTATCGTTATTCTAATCGGCAGTCAACTTTAATTTGAAGAATTATTTATTATTGATCTGAAGTTAAAATTACAATGCATCGTCACCGAAAACTTTTTTACAGCGATTAAGCAACATGTTTGACTGCAAATGTCAGTATGTTATCATAAAAATCACTGTAATTAATATCTTTCAAAACAATATTTAATTAATGCAACAATTCAATTGGAGTGCTTTTGAAGATATCCCGACATGGTCCCGATTGTCTCTTTAGCAAAGGAAAATTGTTAAAGACAAATGAAGGGAATAAATTTTATATTTCAACCCTGGAAGAAACCCGAATTTTTGATGGCGAATCGGGCAAATTTACTGAAACATACAAAGGAGCAGTGGGAAGATATCCAAACATACAATTCCATTCCTGTGACATAATAACCGATAGTAGTTAAAATGTATTACTTGCTGTTGAAAATAACGCCATTCATTTATTGGACAAATCTTTAAAATTTCAGAAACTTTTACTGACTGAAGAAGACGGGCTCCGATCGCCATCTTGTTTAGCACTAGACACCTTTGGCTATCTCTGGGTGGGTTGTAAAGATGGACAGATACATATAGTGAATTATCAATATTTACTGACGACAGAGCGAATAGCTAGACTAAAATCTAAAAGAAAGGAGTGTTAGTGGACACACATTCTAGTTTTATTGTGATTAATCTTATTTTCATAATCGTAATCAATTGTTACTATAAATGATCTAGAGTTTTTTTTAAAAAGAACTTTCATCATGGCCACAACTTTTTGAGTAGCAATAGATATGTACAGCATAAAAGAAAGAAATTTAACAGTAATATCAAATAAAATCGCTGTCAGAAATACCAATAAAAAAACAAAACGAGTATTTTTTTTTTAATTAGGAAACCTATTTATCTGGTACATCAGATAAAAAAAATTCATTATCCATATTTGATCACTGTAAAATGTCCAGCAGATGAAACATCACACTGAGTTTATAATTTGTCTTGCGATGTAGCGCTTGTCTCCTCGTCTTTTGCTTCCTCCTCTTCTCTATTTCTTCCCTCCGTTCCCTGGCTTTCTCTTGCTTTTCTATCATTGCAAGTTTCCTTTTACCTGAAAAGTATTTATGCTATTAGTTAAAAAAAACGTACCTTTCTCATCATTTGAGTCTGTCTCATTGACTAAATCAGAAATGAACATTTATGTTAAATTATTAATAAGATAACTTTAGTATTATATCGTTTTATCCTCTTCATTATATAGGCCTGCAAATGTACAGAATAATTGTAGATACCCATACATGTAGTAAAATATCTCTAAAGTTGCCCTACTTTTTAAAGCAACTTCATCCTCATATCTCTGAAGCTTTTTGTTCAAAGGCAACGCTATACGGCATGTTGGCTCTCCTCCGCCAGTTATTGCAATATCAAACGCAACGCCACCTCTGGTCACTTTGGCTTTGATTCCATGTTTATTAAGGGTCTTTTTCAGTCTCTTTTGCTGCTTTTTGGTGCGAAAAGTTGTAGGAAAAGGCGCAACTTTACTATTGAAGCTACCCATTTTGTTTACTCTGATTTTGTTGTCAGACAACGCAATTCTTATTATGACGTCATATCCATTGTTACGTTGCATGTACTGTTGCGTCAAACACCACATGCAAGATTCAAAAAATGTGTATGGTGTCACTAACATAAACAATGATTCCCATTGCGTTATTTTTCATAAAGTAGGAAATATATCATACTTAGGTATAAAGATAAAACAGGAACACATTTATATGACTGTTTTAAATTTTAAGGTAATTCCACCCTCCTATGATGTCAGAGGTTTTTGCAAAAACTGTAATTAGTTTAAATTCATACCTAATAGAACAATATCTCTTGGAAGAATGCATTACAATAGGTGTAATGATAAATATTGTTAAGTTAAAAAATTTAAAAAATGCATATTTTCTATATTTAATCAATTATTCAATCTTTAAAAAATGTTGACAAGGGCAATAATACTGTCTAAGATCTGTTCATTCAGGAATTTGCTTTGTTGTAAAATAGTTTCCCTGATATTCAAAATTCAAAAGTATCTTTAAAGTAGGAAGTATTTCGGAACATTCAGCATCAGAATTGTGCATTTTAACCAGTTTTTACATATTTTTCATAATACTGTTTACAAAAAAAGTGTGATATTTTATGTTCAAATACACTTCTGTTTAATTATGATTCCCATCTTAAATAATATGGTGACCTATATATTTTTTGCAATAATTGGAAAATTTAAACTATATTTAATGAAAATAAATGCAGTTTTTGTACTTTGAACCTATAAAATGTTGAGGGTGGAAACACCTTAATGTGTTTTTTTTGAAATACATTATGAAAAATTGGTTGTTTCAATACAAAAGATGCGCCTTTTCCTACAACTTTTCGCACCAAAACGCAGCAAAAGTACGTAACGTTAATATCTTTTTTTTTATATATCAAAATATTAATATCTGAGTTTACAAAAAAAATTCTCGAATACATGTATATATTTTCAAAATAGTATTTATTATTTTGGAACAAATTGTACTCGCTGCTATGTTTCACTTATTTTCAAGAATTAAAGATCTATGTAGCTACCTGTAGCAAGTATGCTACTTTTTACACTTCATTTAAAAAAGAAAAGAAAGAGAAGAGAGGGTATGACACTCCATCGTGTATGGCTTGTGACTCAATAAATCTTGTTTAAAATGCACAAACTTGAGTGAGTTGTTGCCAATTACCTAGCTAGGTGTTGTTAAAATCTTGACTAAAGGTTATATCTATCAAGGGTCAAAGCACATGAGTTCGCGGAGCTTTCAATTTTACCAAATTTTTCAATGAATTAAAAAAATACCTAATACATATAATTATGATATAGTACGCGAACTCCTGTGGTCAAAGTCACTATGCTAAGATTAACAAGTATTTTTATACATGTAGCTTTAGCTCTGGTATACAGGAGTGTTAGCTGCAATAATATAGCCTTCTCCGATTTTTTTTTATTGATGTTCTCTCAGAAACCATTCAAAATACATGGTAATGGTGCAAAAATATTTTTTTACAGCATAAATATATTCAGGTCAGAAATTGTTTTTAAGTTAATGATATACTAATAAAACGAAATTTTTAATGGCAACATGCCCGTTAAAAAGAAAACAATGAAAAAACACGTGTTTACGTGTATAAAATGAAATAAATGTGCTTGAAAAAAAATTCAATAAAGCAGGTGCCGATGTTTGTAAATGATATATTTTTAATATAAACATACAAAGTTTTTTAAATGATTCCATATGTTGTTTTTTTTTTTAAAAAGAATTTAGCCTTGAAATAAGTTTACAAGAAATATGCTCCCTATAGATCCTTAATCTCAATGTCTGTATTTTAAAATCTGTCAAGGTCAGTAAACATCCGGATCAAAATCTTGAAGTTCATTGTAGTTATTGAAGACAAAAACGATGTTACATGTATATGACTTGACTCAAAGTTTCATAAAAGTATTAAAATTCATGTCGACAAGGTTTTTCAAGATAATCAGGAAATATTAAATGCAAAATGAAAAACACCCTTTTACCAGAAAAAAAACAATTTTCTTTCGTTTTTCATCACTTTTAAAATTCATGTAAGAATATCCAATTATTGTTATTATTTTTTTACAGTAATTGTCATATTTTAAATTTCAAAATGGATTTCAATTGACAACGAGAAAATGATATATGTCCGCATTATAAAACAAGTTGCATTTAAATAAAAACGATGTTATATGACGTTTCTTAAAAATCTTAAAATTTATACAGAGTTTTTTTTTTAAATACATGTAGCTAATCAGGATATATGAAATGCAAAATGAAGAAATCCTTTTGCCAGAAAAAAAACAATTTTTCTTTCTTCCTTTTTTAACGCTTTTAAAATTCATGTAAAAATATGCAATTATTTATATATTTTTACGTAATTGCTGTGTTTTGAAATTCAAAAGCATTGATAAGATTTTAAAAAATATCTAGTGCAAGGGTAAAAACACACATATGAGTAAAATGTAAATGTGTATTGTATACAGGGTTATTTTCGGTCAGTGTTATTTTACCTTTCACACTTTCACAATTTTGCCAAAGTTTTAAAATTTGCCCAGATTATCGTTTTAAATGTTTATATAAATTTATGTTTGCTATGCACTTTGCATGTGCTAGAATTAATGATATGGTGAAAAAATTGGTAAGTGTAAAAAAAACGGCTGTGAAAATTTAAACAGTATATGTAATTAATCCTTTAATATAAAACAGAATATTTAAAGAGACAACAAATATTTTGAATCTAACAAAAATTTTTTAATCGAGGGAAAATATATTATATGAATTAAAATAAAACAGTCAAGAAAAAAATTGATGTTAAGTCAGATATTTTTCACGAAAAATTTAAATTACAATAATCATAATTTAAAATAAACGTCCTGGTGAAAAAATGGTTTTTAAACTTCACCAAACCTTTTGTTGAGTGACGTATATATAAGATAACGAAATGTATCTAAATATATCAGTTGTATTGGATGTATCGTGATGGTTACTTAAATTCATTAAGATAACAATATATTATCTACTAAATATTTTTTATTTTATTAATTTCAATCGAAAGAATGAAAGTCGACTGTCCCTTTTATAAACCCATTGTTGATTAATCTTCTTATGTGCGTTATTGGAAAGGAACAATTGTATAAATGTTTTATCAGGCGCGTATTAATTCCGTAGGTTTGAAATATAGGGCACTGGTGAAATTCGCGTCACATCACACAGTTGGGTCGTTTATGGTGTCCTAAAGTCCATCATTTCTGGGGAGACTTTTTAACAGTGTCCATCTGAAGAGGAAATTTAGGATTGTCCGGAGAACGACAGCAGACGATAGTCACCATGGAAAAACGCGGGGCACCTCGTTTTCAAGTTATCGTTTTCTTCCTCACCATTTCCTCTTCATTTGGGTTTTACCTCATCACAGATTGTAAGTAATTAAAATTTATTATTTAAAAATTCTATATTTTGTTACTTTTTCAAATGCTGGAATCTTAACTTGACATGTATTTTATCTATTCATTTATCTGTTTATTTATTTATTTTCGAAGCAACTAAAATATTGAAGTATATACACATGGATGTTTTTTTTACAAAAATATTTCACTATAATGTTATAGTTTTCAAAGTTTTAGTGACCTAGTGTTCTGTATTGACCAGTCATTATAAAAAATAAATTGATACCCTAAAATCCATTGAATTATCATTTTTATTTAATAAATTAATTTGTATCCAGTATCAATAATACATATTCGTGTACCTCATTTTTAAACACGGCATGGCTCTTCATATTGAATTTTGTAGATGCTACTACATTACATGGATGGTTTTATATTTTTACCATAAAATATTCCCGTAACTATAATATTATGCGCTCTTTTAGTTTTTCAAGGTTTTACTTTCACTCCTTAATTCTATGCACATTATTTAACTATAATCTGTATATTTTTAACCAACCTTTTGTCATGTTTATATAAAATAAACTCGCTTGATTAAAATTATTTGTTAGATTGCTGAAAATTCACTTGAGTTTATTTATCAGCCAACTATAAATGTTGGGAGGTGTAAATATATATTGGCTTTAGAATGTGTCTGGAATAAACAGTTTGTTATTAACCGATGCTGTCGAGAAATTCTTAAAAAGCGCAAAAAATTTTTAAACACAGCATGGATCTAGCGTTATTCAAATATATAAAAATTTGTAGATGCTACTATATGTACTTTTAGAATTGTATCGTTAGGGTACGTTTTATGTACAACGTGCTAGGTGTGTATATATTATTAATAAATCTTTTTTTTTTTTTGGCAATGGGGCTACATAATACATTGCTCCAGAGTAAAAGCAAAAGTATCTTATTTGTAAGAAATAATGCTGCTAATTTTTTTTTCATTTTATTTGAAAGAATGATAACCAGAACCCATAAAAATTGTGCCAATTAATGAAACAAATTCTGGCTCAGAGTGTAACCCCCCTCTTTCCAGAAACCACAGTTCTGCCTTGAGATATTGTAAAAAAAAAAATCGATCTAGCTTTTCCTCTGACGACCCCCCCCCCCCCCATGCACCACCTTAATTTAAAATCTACGATCCTCGATCACTAATTCTCTAAAATAATTGTCATTTCATTTCGTTGCCGTGCCTCTAAATTTTATAAAGGCAAATGAATTGACTATACTTTGTACATGATTTAGTAAAGGCCTAAGAAATTATGCACAATGGTTCAAGCAAGAATTCTATTTAAAGTTAAAAAATTCATTTTCCATTTCCGAAATTAATTTATTAATCAATTTGCGTCCGATAATAAGTAAAGTGTATTTCTACGATAGTTATCGTTGTAAATATTCTATGATTGAAATTGATTCAATTTGAAACATTAAAAAAATACTATCGAGATATTTACAAAGAATTCGTAATTGTTTGAAATAAATATACTTTAAAATTGAAAAAGAAATTCCAGTATACTACTATTTTCTCAATACTCATATTGCTATGTTAAATGTGAATTGTTCACAAATCTAATTAAATTCAACATCCAATACATGAGAGAAGGTCTATTTAAATGTTAGGTCT